ACCCCTCCGCTCTATTGTGTGTAATGGAGAGTGTGTGTTTCTGTGTCTATGTGTGTGTGTACAGCAGGTGATAACCCTCACCTCTCTCTGATAAGCCCTCCTGTTGTAATTGTCCTGTCCCTCAGACCAGTATTCTGACCCATGGAACACATTCTATGCATGGATAGAGGCAAATCTACCCACGCCCCTCCACACACACACCGTACCCCCCTCTGGCCTCTGTCTACCTCAGCTTAATTTTTTGCTAACGACCTGCCACTATCCCATCCACTATCCCATCAGTAATACTACTAAACAATTTGCCTGTAAATGTTCCCCTACATATTTCATGTGTTACAGCATTATTGGCTTCTTAATCGATCTGTGTCATCCCACAAGGCGGAGGGAGAAAATAACATATATTTAACTAATCATCTCTACTAGAGCCATGCAAGATGTAGGTGGTCCTCTGTAGCTCAGCTGGTAGAGCACGGCGCTTGTAACGCCAAGGTAGTGGGTTCGATCCCCGGGACCACCCATACACAAAAATGTATGCACGCACGACTGTAAGTCGCTTTGGATAAAAGCGTCTGCTAAATGGCATATTATTTATTATCAAGATAATGACAAAATCCCAAAGGATATCATTTGAACAGTGTTTAGATTCTAGGCCTATATTTGATTATTTGAACTTTTATTAAGACCCTGGTTCTACCACCCACTCTGGCCTTCCTTGGTCCCCAGAAATAGGCCTCTCTTTGTGGGCAGAGTCAGCCAGTCGGAGCCTGGCTCTGTGTCCCGACGGGTTGGAAATGGCCTGTGTTGTGGGTAGATCGATGATAATCACAGAACAGACACTCCTCCACAGTCAGGTCTCTCAGAGACACAAATGGATGATTAAAGACACAGATTGATGATTAGAGAGCTACCCCCCTATCTACCCCCATGTGTTGGTGTCACACAACAATCAGTATGTCTCACATAAATGGCATCCAGTGTTTCAGCATTTATTTGGTTAGAGCTTGTTTTTCTAGTTGGTTCTGTGATCCTAGTTCTTCCTAGTATTTGACAGCTTTTAAAGTCCATCCCTATTTATAGATGTTTCCTTTTTTATAAAAAAAATAATATATTTATGTATGCACTCACTAACTGTAAGTAGCTCTGGATAAGAGTGTCTGCTAAATGACTAAAATGTAAAATGTATATATTTGTACCACCTTATTCACGGGTCCTTGACAAATCATGTGGAATAGAGAGCTGGGTCCATTCTACCTGCTCCACATCTATGGTGCCTTGCTCTATACCAGATTGATTGAATTGATTGGACATTTTTAGGCTATATCATTTCCTGGTTTTGAATGTTCTGAGAGAATGAGTGGCATAGAGTGTGAATACTCTTTGTCCCAGACACAAACTGCTGGATCACTGCATGGACAAAAGCTTTGTTATTTCAGGGAATAAATAATGTTTTCTCTTGGATGAAATTGAGCATGAAATGAACAGCGTCTTTGTTGCAGAGTAATTTGATCCAGCATGGAAATGTTAACATTTCTAGAATGTGTATCACATGATAGTACAGTGAAAGGAGGAGAAACAGAAAAGCTGTGGATAACACTGCCCACTAAACTATCCGGTGCTGTTCTGTGCTGTATTGCATTTGTCTATTGGCAGTTAGTAAAAGGTTCAGTATGGCTTCAAGATGGGAATGGTATTACCATTGTTGTGTATAGATTATGCATCCTTATGTCATATTTCCGCATAATGAGCCTGTGGTCACTGCAGTGTGTGATGCCTTATTATACACACATGCACATGCACACACACACACACACACAGTCTTCTACATCTAACCTTGTGGGGACACACAATTCAGTCCCATTCAAAATCCTATTTTCCCTAACCCCTAACCCTAAACCTAACCCTAACCTTAACCCAAAAACCTAACCTTAACCATAACCCTAAACCTAACCCTAGCTCCTAACCCTAACTCTAAAGCTAACCCTAGATCCAAACCCTAACCCTAAACCTAATTCGAACCCTAACACTAATTCGAACCTTAACCCCCGAGAAATAGCATTTGACCTTGTGGGGACCAACAAAATGTCCCCAGTTGGTCCAATTTTGGTTTGACTTCTGGTCCCCACAAGAATAGTTAAACACGTCCACACACACACACACACACACACAGTACAATGCCCATTGAACACATTCAGACAGAGCCCCAGCACAGCTCCAGCCTCACCAGCTGTGTTGCATACTCACACGTGTGGTAACAGCATCTGCCTGAGACAGAGACAGAGAAAGCAAAGCAATTATGCTTATTAATGTTTGATGCTGAATTATTCAATACCGGCACTTTCAAAACATGGTACAGAGCCTCTTGTCAACAGTCAGCGATTATTGTTTGATGGTGTGGTATTTAAGAGGTGCAGGTCATAGTCAGCAAAAAAAAAACGCACTGAAATAGATGAAAGAAATGACTGTACATAATCTTCTCCGCAAAGTAATGACTGTTATTGAGTATTTACATTTACTAAAAGGAGTGGTATAGGTTAAACTTTATTTACATTTTTTATTACAGTCGTTCAAAACAAAACTGCCTGTGTAGACTGATTCTATGGTCTCAATAGGCTTGATGGATGTTTGGTTCCCTTTGCTGTACAATTACCAGAATGCATGTTTGTATTTGAGTTCAATTGCCCTCTGAGGTCACTGGCTTGTGTTAGGAATCAATCAATGATAGCAAGGGAAAGTAAAGACTGTGGAAAGAGGGAGAGGAACATGAAGGAAAAGACTTGGCAAGAGAAAGGAGACAAAGGGAGAAACAGATAGTATAAGGAACTAAAGAGAGGGGAGAAGGATAAAGGGAGAGAAAACAAGGTTGAAACAAGGAGAAGGTAAAGGGAGAGAAAGAAAGAGTAGGCTATATATTGAAATAAATGAGAGAGGAAGAGAGAAAGAGAGGAGAGGGGGATGGGGTAGTGAGGGCCTTCCAAACACACTGGAGAATAGCTACAGTAGCTACACACACTGGCGAGATGGGAGTGAGTGGTCTCAGCAGAGATACTGATGATGAGGAGGAGGAGGAGGAGGAGGAGGGGGAGACTCATTCCTCTCTGGACAGTACACTACAATATCTACATAGCAAAACAACTCATTTCTTAATCCTGCTGCTACTCTACAATTCCACAAATAAAGCAAAACATGTCCATCCACATAACTCAGTCACTGTGATATCCAGGCACACTTGTCAATTCCTCATACAACAGGACACTTTTGTTATGATCTTGGACTTCTATTATGATCACATACAGGTAACTGCCAACATAAAGGAAACACTTGAGTAAATTAGGGATACAAAGTATATTGAAAGCAGGTACTTCCACACAGTTGTGGTTTTCAGAGTTAATACAGCAATTAACATCCCATCATGCTTAGGGTTATGTATAAAAATGCCCAGCTGCCCATTATTTTGGCTACCATGGCTAGAAGACGAGATCTCTGTGACTCTGAAAGAGGGGTCTCAATGGAGCATAGGGGGTTTAAAGTGTGTGTGTGTGTGTGTGTGTGTGTATCTCATTCACCAGATCTCAACACAATTGAGCTCTTATGGGAGATTCTGGAGCAGCGCCTGAGATGGCGTTTTCCACCACCATCATGTTTCATTTATTTTGGCAGTTACCTGTATCTGATCTGTTGTATTGGCAGGTTAGCGTTTTACATAATTACTCTTGTTACAGAGGCAGCTCTGCAGAGTGGCCACTAGGTGGCTCAGCCACAAAGTCATAAAATTGGTATCCTATATGTGCAGGCTATGCCATAGTTGGGGAAAAACAGACAGGGGTTGGCTTGGATTGTTGACAACATGTGAACTATATTTTGTCTCCAATGTTTATTGAAAAAATACATTTGCACAATGAGCACTTGTCTCTCAAATAAATTGTTACAGTTGTTGGTTAGCTAGCTAGCAGATATTAGCCATTTTAGCATAAACATTACATCAGTCAAAACACCTCAAAACAAGACATGGTATCAAGAACAAGATAAAACTAGCTGAAATGAGCCACCTACGATTCCCCACTTGGCAGCTACTTGTCATTGTTAGTAGCTATCTGACCATCCAGAATTACAACACAGAGACTTCTGCCCTGTTGAATCACGCATTGTTTTCGTGACGTTGTCAGACGTTGTCAGCTAACCCATCTATATGTGTTGGCTGATATGAAAACTCCATTCTAGCATACATGACCCAAGTCTTTCTATCTACATGCTTTTATTTGGATTTCTATGTAAATTCTATGGTTTAATATTTCTTTAAGCCTGCAAGTAGTTACTTGAAATGAGACAATCATGCCAAAACATGATTCAAAATTGAATCCACTGACAGAGAGATAGCTAATGAAATGCTAGCTTCCTGAGCTTGCACATTTACAGTATTAACTGGCTAGGGTAGTCAACTCTAACATTGGCTAGCTTTCAATAAATTGGCTAAATGGTCAACAAAGTTACCTCTTCATATGATCAAAACCATTCATATTACATGCGGCATATTTCAAGTGCACTTGAAAAAATATATTTATCTTATTTCAGTCTTTGGGAGCTAACGTTAGTTCCTCTTAACACACTGACAACAGATCACAATTTCATCTTAGGCCGTGTTTACATGTTAGATAGAAGCAGGTCACTGGCTTCTTCTTTGGTATATTGGCTATAGCACAATTTAATGTGCATCCCGCCACCTACTGTGTGGGACGGAAATAGGATTCCCAAAAACAACTGTGACATGATGATGTTGGACCCAGGAGCAGAGAATAGACCAAACAAGGAAATCAGTGATAAAAGTAAACACTTTACTGAGAATAGGTAACAGCAGGATTACAATAACGGTGAGAAAACAAAAATAGAGAACTTACTCAGGAGGCAAACACACATGACAAATGAATCAAACTACTGCAAAGGGAAACAGAAAACACCTCTCTTAAAGGGGAACTCATAATTAGAAAATAGAAAACACCTGAGTGTCATAATAGTCTCTAGTATGGTCTCTGTCGCCCTCTGGTGACAGGTGGAAGCATGACAGAATCCCCCCTTCTAGAAGCGTCTCCAGCCGCAGAGCCAGTGCAACCACCACAGAGTTGGTCGAACTCCCGAACAGTCCCGTATCCAGGTTGTCCCGGGCAGGCACCCACGCCCGCTCCTCGGGACCGTAACCCTCCCAGTCCACCAGGTGCTGCAGCGCACCTCGGACGGGGCGAGCCTCCAACAGACGCCAGACAGTGTAGGCAGGGCGGCCATCAATAAGTCGAGGAGGCGGAGGGGCAGGTGTGGGGGGAGAGAAGGGACTGGTTTTTACCGGCTTGAGTCGGAGACATGGAAGGATGGACAGACCTTCATAGACCTGGGAAGCTGGAGACGGTAGGTGACCGGTTGATGTGACTCGGGATCTTGAATGGTCCAATGCAGAGCGAGCTTCCGCGAGTCCACCTTTAAGGGAAGATCATGGGTGGACAGCCATACCTGTTGACCCGGGAACGTGGCGAGGCTCTTGGTGGAGGTCTTAGACACTTGGTTAGGCAGTTCTTGCCCCAGTCTAGCAGGTGTCCCGTGGACCAGGAGAATAGTGGGTCATGGAGCACTTGCCAGGGGTACCCTAGGATCAGAGGATTCTCGGGAGCAGTGATCAAAAGAAAGCTAAGAGTCTCAGAATGGTTCAACCCAACCTGCAGTAGAATGGGCTTGGTCTGATACTCCACCTGGCCGGAGCTGATGGGACGCCCATCGAGCGCTTGAAGCTGCAGAGGGATGGGACATTTCATGCAGGGGATTTGTAGTTTACTGGTGAAGTCTTGGTCCATGAAATGATCCGAGGCCCCAGTCCACAAAGGCTTGAATGTGGTGCTGACAGTTGTCCCAATGGAGGATTGCAGGTAGTGACAGACGGTGACTGGGTGGCTGGGGAGTAACTGCACAGCTCTGGCGTTTCCCGTCAACTCTGGACATGTAGCACGGAGATGGCCGAGACCTCCGCAACAGAGGCAGCAGCCTTCGTGCATGTGCCTGTCATGTTCCTGTGGGCTCAGACGTGTGCGTCCCAGCTGCATGGGTTCCTCAATGCTGGACTTGGGGGGCTTGGGGTGCTCAGGAAACCGGGATGGTGTCAAAAAAGTGCTGTCTCTCACGTTCTCGGATGCGGTTGTCAACCCTGATTGCCAGTGTTATCAGTGACTCGAGGTCCTCTCCCAGTTCTCGAGCGGACAGTTTGTCCTTGATGGGGTTAGACAGACCCTAGTAGAAAGCGGTAACCAGTGCCTCCGTATTCCACCTGCTCTCGGCGGCGAGAGTGCGGAACTCAATGGCGAAGTCAGCCACTGGTCTGGCCCCTTGGCGGAGTCTGAACAGTCGGCTTGCTGGGTGGTCGAAGACTCATTGCAATTCGGCAGTGAAGGCCAATATGGAGCTGCAGGATGATGGCTGCTGTTCCCACATAGCCGTAGCCCATGCCAGGGCCCTGCCTGAGAGTAGAGAGATGATGTAGGTGATAATGGCTCGATCGGTGTGGAACGAGGAGGACTGTAACTCGAAAACCAGAGAGCAATGAGTAAGGAACCTCTTGCATCCTCCCGGGTGACCGATGTACCTCTCGGGGGCAGGGATCTCGTGTTCCCGGCGCAGCTTCCCTGGAGGTACTATGGCGACACCTGTAGTACTGGGCGATGAGACTTGGGCATTGGCTCCTCCTGGGTTGGGGTTGGGCCGTGGTAGGAGGGAATCGGTACGTGCCCGAAGGGTCTCAGATATTTGGGAGAGTTGTTCTTGCTGCCATCCCAACAGTGCTCCTTGATGGGTTATAACATTCTTGATGAGGGTGATCTCTGCTGGGTCCATGTTGGTGGCAGTAGCTTGTTGTGACATGATGAGGTTGGACCCAGGAGCAGAGAATAGACCAAATGAGGAATCAGTGGTAAAAGTAAACGTAAATACTTTACTGAGAATAGGTAACAACAGGATTACAGTAACACTGAGAAAACAACAAACACTAGGACTAGAGAACCTCCTCAGGAGGCAAACACACATGACAAACTAATCAAGCTACTGCAAAGGGAAACAGAAAGAACACGTCTCTTAAAGGGGAACTCACAATTAGAAAATAGAAAACACCTGTCATAAAATGTAAATGTAAAATAATAGACTCTAGGACGGATTCTGTTGCCCTCTGGTGACAGGTGGAACCATGACAACAACAGAAAAAAAGAAAAAATACCAAACTACCAAATAATAAAATAAAATAAAAACTGATCTGATCCCTACACAGGCTCCGACGCCAGTACCCCTTGCAAGTCTTCAGATGTAAAAAGTCCCAAAAACTAGTCTATGGCAACCAACGCCACAAAATCCACCTTTTTAACACACTCTTTTGACTGGCAGCAAACATTCACTACATATATTCACTAGCATCACTTGTTTTCTCAATAATTTGAATCACCTCTGCATAGGAGATTCGATTGGTCGCTCTATCTTTTGCCACCTCAATCTCCTTCACCCTTACATGGCACTCCAGGAACTCGGGATCATGATCCCCCACCACAATTGCAACACCGTCGTATTTCTGCACACCATTCTTCAGTATACTCTGTCTGTCTGCACGCAATGGAAACATGGGCAAATCCTTTACAGTTCTTACACTGCAGTGGTTTAGGGACAAAACTCTTACAGCGTATCTTACATAACCAAGCTTTACATGCGTAGGTAGATGCTCTTTATCAAAAAACAACAGGACCGACAGACTTTCTTCTTTTCCCCATTCACCCAGCAGGTCAGACACCGGGCACCAATCACACAAGGAATTCTCTTCAGGCATTCAACCTGAACATCAGTCATCACCCCTGAGATGACTCCTTTGATGGATTCTTTTGAGGCCCACTGCAATCTTCCTCTGTTCTTCAGAAATACAATTAATCAATAAAAGACCACTCCTGGTCACTCTGACAGACTCCACTTTTCCCAGCGCATACTTACATCCTTACTCAACAAACGCATCCCAACAAGATGCAATTCATTATCATTTATAGACGTATGATCCACTCCAATTTTAGACAATTTCCTTTTTGTTCCAGTTTTCGGCACTACTGTTGTCCATTCAGGACATTGATCTTCATCAACTGTGCTTGATGCGCTGCTTGATTCGAACTCAGCATCCACTTCCACCATTTTACCTCCTGTCCTCGGCTGCCTTCATCATGAAGGGGTATGTACAGGTGTTCTGATTGATTGTATACATCTGGCCCTTCATTGGACACTGTGTTAACAAACCTCCAAACGAGCTTCAATGCCATACAACACTCCTTCAGTAGCCTCCAACTGCTCTTAAACACTAGTAAAACTAAATGCATGCTCTTCAATCGAACGCTGCTGGCACCCGCCCACCCGACTAGAATCACCACTCTCGACGGGTCTGACCTAGAGTATGTGGACAACTACAAATACCTAGGTGTCTGGTTAGACTGTAAACTCTCCTTCCAGACTCACATTAAGAATCTCCAATCCAAAGTTAAATCTAGAATCGGCTTCCTATTTCGCAACAAAGCCTCCTTCACTCATGCTGCCAAACATGCCCTCGTAAAACGGACTATCCTACCGATCCATGACTTCGGCGATGTCATTTACAAAATAGCCTCCAACACTCTACTCAGCAAATTGGATGTAGTCTATCACAGTGCCATCCGTTTTGTCTCCAAAGCCCCATCCACTACCCACCACTGTGACCTGTACGCTCTTGTTGGCTGGTCCTCACTACATGTTCGTCGTCAAACCCACTGGCTCCAGGCCATCTATAAATCACTGCTAGGCAAATCCCCGCCTTATCTTAGCTCATTGGTCACCATAGCAGCACCCACCTGTAGTCTGTGCTCCAGCAGGTATATCTCACTGGTCATTCCCAAAGCCAACACCTCCTTTGGCCGCCATTCCTTCCAGTTCTCTGCTGCCAATGACTGGAACGAATTGCAAAAATCTCTGAAGCTGGAGACTCTTATCTCCCTCACTAACTGTAAGCATCAGTTGTCAGAGCACCTTACCGATCACTGCACATGTACACAGCCCATCTGAAATTAGCCCACCCAACTACCTCATCCCTATATTGTTATTTATTTTGCTCTTTTTGCACCCCAGTATCTCTATTTGCACATAATCTCTTGCACATCTAGCATTCCAGTGTTAATACTAATTGTAATTATTTTGCACTATAGCCTATTTATTGCCTTACCTCCATAACTTGCTACATTTGCACACACTGTATATATATTTTCTGTTGTATTTTATGACCTTATGTTTTTTTTTACCCCATATGTAACTCTGTGTTGTTGTTTTTATTGCACTGCTTTGCTTTATCTTGGCCAGGTCGCAGTTGTAAATGAGAACTTGTTCTCAACTGTCTTACCTGGTTAAATAAAGGTGAAATAAAATAAAAATAAAAATAGTTTAGCAGTTCGCAAATTTGCCTGAGCAGACAGTGTTGAAATATACTTTTTTTGAGATAAATTGCAAGAACTGAAGGTGGCAACAATTGTTTTTGTTTATAAGAATATTTCATTGTCATATACAAAAAATCAGCTCCTCCCTCGATGTAGATTGATCAACTTCACTGTTTTTAGCGTCGGCCAACCACCTAAGAGTGTGACATATTTGTGGCAAACAAATATTTTATTTGTTTGTTTGTTTCCTTCTAAAGGATTAAGCTTTTTGAGAAAAAAATTCTGACTTTGAAAAAGCACATAGCCAGGAGTAACATGTACAGTACTACACACTATTCCAGCATATAGGCCTAGATTGTGCCTAATCTAAGAATGACAATCAATCACAGATGCTATTTTTGGATCATTCTGTGAGAGTGTTGTAGTGTCGAACGATGCTGAGATGCTGTGATGACAAGAAATCCGCTGACACTGTCCTCGATTATAATAGTTTATTACATCGAAGATTTCAGCGCCAATTTACAGACTTCTGCAGACATCTGGAGAACAACCGGCCCAATCTTTTAATATGTTGTTCTCCCAGTCCTTTGTCCCAACCAAGGTATATATATCCTATGTAACCTGATATGGGTGTTTTCCCTACAGACCAATCCCAGGACGCCACATAACAGACTTCCCCTGTTTTAGGGTGCCCCTATAGAAATGCTCTCCAGATGCTTCCACAAGCTGAGTCAACTTCCTCTAAGACACCATTTGTAAACGTCAGCAAAGTCATACATTGTCTAGATACTACAGTGTACTGTTTTGGGTGTGATACTGTATTGTGACTGCTACAGCTAAGCTCTCCCATCATCAATGTACAGTAGCCTATATTGAGTGGCACCCGGCTGTGAGAGAAACAACAGTATGCTTGGCTAACATCAATATTACTGTAAGTGTGGATGTAGTTTATTCAGTGTGACAGTGAGATATGAGTCAAGGTGTTAGTGCTGACTCTGTCCGTGTCAACTGTCAGCCATCTTGAGAGTGTGAAGGCTCTTGACAAGCAAATGGCTGGGCCAGTAGAAAGGGTCACATTGGAGATGCTTTTATCACCAAAGACCTTCTCAATTAAAACACTAACCATGTTTCCAAGGATAGAAAAAAACTATTGCCCTCCCGTGCTGCCAGGAGTAAAGCCATTGAGATAAAAAAAATTGCATTACTGAGGCTGATTGTATCTCACCGGAGAAAGCATCCGAGCGAGCGAAACAGCGCCTCTCTGTATGTATAGGCCATCTATCTGATACTGTCTGGTCATAAAGAGTATGACATTGCTGCTGCCCGTAGCATTGAATGCAAGGAAAGCCAGCAAGCATTTGGCCTCCCTTGATAAAAAAGTATAAAATAATAGCCAATCAGCATTGAGCTAAACTGAGTGAACTCAACTGTGAGTGGTCCTGGCGTGCCAAAAAAAAATGTCAAGGGAAACGAGTTTGGATTTGGCTTCTCTCCTATCACATTGCATCAAGAGAAATACATCATTGACATAAACAACTTGAATTGTTGCATCTCATTGTGTTGTTGTCCTCCAGTGGCTAGCTATCTAGCAAAATGTGTCCTTTCCTAAATTGCCATGGATTGAGATAGGGATTTGGACTTGTGGTTTTACTTAATTATTTGTACTGGCCAACGATTATAAAAGTTATTCTGATCCAACCATAAATTAATATATTGTGCCACTGGACTGAGAGGATGGAAGTTCAATATGTAGCTAGATGTAGAAGGCTAATGTTAACTAGCTAATGTTGCCCATGAAAGGAAGTTAGGCTAGCGAGGAAGCATTTTAGCCAGGTAGGCTAGGACAACAAAAATAAAAGCGTGTACTGTATGACAGAGTCATAGACCGTTTCGTCAACATGAAAGAGAGGAGGATGGCGTTGGTGTTTCTCTACAAGTAGGGTGAGTCAACATGTTTTTTCTACTTGCACGAACGCACACACACACACACACACAAACAAATCAGAACCATGGACAGCCATATCATATTTAGCTTACATTGATTGGACAGAATTATTTTTGGTATATTTTAGTTGTCTCTGTATTAGATTAAGCGTAGGTGATTTGATTTGATGTTGGAATGTTGAAGTTGAAATGGTGCTGGAATAGTGGAGGCAGCTCCTGTTTTCTTTGCGACTTGCAGTAACTCTCCGTGGTTCTAAATCAATAGTTGTTTAGTAGTCCGAAAATGTCGGACACATTAACTTTCTTGACAATGC